GGGTGGGGGTAAATGCAAATATTTGCCACGTGTGTTAACCTTTTCGGTCACGGCACATAGCGTTCTGTTATTTATTTTTCTCTTTCTGTCTTTCCTTCAATGATCTTGTGGATGCAGTATTGTAGAGGTGCAGGCATAGGCGTCAAGGTACGTGTGCATGTATGTCTGGGGAAGAAGCATTAGCGATTGCCACTCGCCAGAAGCTTTGCGCACGCGGCCCATGGAGACTTCCCCCTCGTTGATAAGGCACACATGCATGCATGCATATATTGAATTTTGTCTCCGCCGTTGTCTGTGTGTGTTGCGTTGTTCGTTTCGATTCTTGCTGGCTTTTTTTTTGTTGTTGTTGTTGCCATTGCCCTTCCATGGCGTGTCGCCACCGCCCGTATCTGTTTCTTATGCCTTGTTGAAGAACAGGATATAATCTAGAACTTTACTGCTGCTAAACGAAAACAAACAGCAAAACAAGAAACAGAAACTATATAAGTATATAGACGAGCCTTTATAGCAACAGCCCGAGGTAGCGTAGGCAAACTGGGGTGTAATTATTGAAAAGCGATACGTGGGAACATACACCAGCAAAAGGAAACTGTAACTATCAACCCGGGTATTCGATAAGATAGCGAAGACAAACATGTTCAAGAGTGCAAGTCGTGTTCTATTGTCCCTCAAGACAATTTCCATCAATCCGCAGAAACCTTTTAAGCTGCACACTGCTGGCCGTGATGATATTCCTCCTATTCCGACCACTGCCACGTACGACACAGAGGTAATGAAGAAGAACCTTGAAATGATGTTTCGTGTTCGTCGTGTGGAATCACTTTGTGATCAGTCGTACAAGCTCAAGAAGATTCGTGGCTTTTGTCATCTGTACATTGGCCAGGAAGCCATTCCCGTTGGCATGGAGAATGTTCTAACACATGAGGATCCTATTGTCACGGCCTACCGTGATCATGCATGGTATCTTGTTCGGGGTGGGACACCGGAGAAAATGTTTGCCGAGGTGTTTGGCAAAGAAGGTGGGTGCTCTAAGGGAAAGGGCGGCAGCATGCACATGTATTCTGTAAAGTACAACTTCTTTGGAGGGAACGGAATTGTGGGGGCACAGGTGCCAATTGGTGCCGGACTTGCATGGCGTTTTGCCCTTGAGAACCGTGATAAGCCGAGCAATGTGGCGGTTGTCTTCTACGGTGACGGCGCGGCGAATCAGGGGCAGGTGTTCGAAGCCATGAATATTGCAGCACTGCAACGCATTCCTGTCATCTTCTGTTGCGAAAATAATCAATTTGGTATGGGTACGAGCAAAGACCGTGCAGCATACCAGCCGGAGATGTACCGTCGCGGTGACTACATTCCTGGTCTAAGGGTTGATGGCATGGATGTGCTTGCGGTGCAGGAGAGCACTCGGTGGGCGAAGGAATGGTGTCTGTCTGGGAAGGGGCCCATTGTACTTGAGTTTGACTGTTATCGTTATGTTGGCCACTCCATGAGTGACCCAGACAGCCAGTATCGCACAAAGAGTGACATCCAGAAGGTGCGTAAAACGCGTGACTGTATTCACAAGATGAAAGATTTTATGCGTGAAGAGGGAATCATGACGGAGGAAGAGATGGTGAAGCTCGAGAAGGAAATCAAGAAGGAGGTTGACCAGCAGCTGCTTCCGGCGGAGAAGCAGAAACCGACACCGCTTAGCGAGCTCTTTACAGATATTTACGTTGGAGAACAGTACGAGCACCGCACGACGCAGGGCACAGTCTATGCCAACCCGTGAAGTTGCACGACAGAGGCGAGTGGCATGAGCAGTAGCATGTGAAGTGGGCTGAGAATAAGTGGACTAACAATCTCACACGGGGAATATGCGGTGTACCTCACTAGCGGTCTTGATGTTGTCTTTGATCATTTATTATTTTTACTTTTTTCATATATGCTTTGTACCGGGTAGGGTTATCATGGAAGCTACGCAAGTCCGCAGGGATAGTTAGAAGAAGAAGAGGACTCTCTAAACCGTAGTAAGTTGGAATGACCGAGATGGGTGGGTGGAACGGGCGAAGAACGAGGGAAGACACGGAAGACGAATGATGTGCATTGATGTGAGTCAGCGGGGTGCTAACAAAATAATAAAAAAAAGAAGGAAAGGAAGAGGTTTGGAGAAGGAACCTTAACGTTTTAGCAGCACACCCACACCCACTCACATGTCACAAGCATACACATAAACACCACCACTATTTTGCGTTGTATGCTCATCGCCCATGAGGTCTTCAACACCACACACCACTGAGCATACCTTTACTTTCACGAGAGGGACAAAGCGGGGAACAAGAAGGGATGCTCTTTTATTTTTATTATGAGCACCGTCAAAAAAGAAGAAAAGAGTAACGACTAAAAGGTGCAAAGAAGGAAGTGATGGGAAACAATATAAAAGAAGGGGTTTGTTAACTGGAAGGTGAGGTTTCCTTTTTAAAAAAAAAGGAAAACAAAAAAAAATTGAACAAAAAAGAACATTAATCGTGAGGGATAGAGTGATATTGGCACAGGTTTAATGTGATGAACGAGGAACGGTATCCGTCTACTGCGTTGTTGTTATTTCATGCTTTTGATGCAGTTGATTTCTCAGATGCAGCTTTGTTGTTGTTGTTGTTGTTTTGTTTTGTTTTAAACTTATCCCTGTTCACTTGTATGGTAGAAGAGCGGCATTATTATTTATTTATTTTTTATTTTTTTATTGAAAGAAGCAAGCGGTTCATGCCACATTGAATTTTGATAGACACAGAAATACATTTATTGGGTTTGACCCGCGATATGGCAATGCGACGACGGCGTTTTTGCACCGGCCCATTTATTGCACATAATAACTGCATTTGCCTCTCTATTCAACCGTTTGTAGTGGAATCTCTGGCGCGTCGGTTTCAGCGCTTCGCTCCGGGTTGGGTGCGGTTGTCGAAGGAGTCGTCAACAAACGGGTCTCACGCCTCCACTTCATTGGAATCCTCGCCAGGATTACAGTGTGGCTGTAGTGTTGGGGTGTTTGAGAACTCCTCTGGGATGCCCGTCAGTGATGTGGAGGAGGGCCGCCGTGGGTTTCTTGGCTTTGGGCGTCGTGCCGGTCGTACCATGCCATTAAATCCTCTTGCTGTTCTGCGTCCGCAGAGTGGAAAGGCAACGGAGGATCGAAGGACCATTCGTTTTCTTAAGGCTGTGCAGATGCTGAACGGAAAGCGCCGTGCTGTGATGAGCGGCTGACGCTGCAGTTTACACCAGAGCAGCAACACGACATTGTAAACCGGCTACGCCAAGACGCGGTGATATGGTTGGATTTGACATCCTGCCAGGGGTGTGACGGAACGTCAGTTCAAATGGTGGTGTCAGTTTGCTCACCTTGCTCTTCTTATCGTCGCCCTGTCCGGTTTAGGTCTTGTTTTGGTGCTGTACTATCATGAGGTGAAAACGGTTTTGCTGCTGAGCCCCCAAGATCGCCATGATTACCAGAATATTGTGACAGGCATGCGCTTCAGTGAAATTTGTGGTATTGCAATGGAGGCTTTAAAGAGGGAGGACCCTCTTGAAGCACTGCCAGCGCTGGCGCGCTACCATCTTCTGCTTGAAGCGGTGCGGGCGAAGGGTTGGTATCAGATTGGCTGGGGAGTGGAGGCGCGTGCCCGCCACCCCACGCTCACCACTTGAGGAAATGGACTTTTTGCAGCTTTCCTACTGGGCGATCATGTACATTGGCTCTGTAGTTGCGTTAGGTAGGGTGCTGTTTACTGATTGTTTCGGTAATCTTATGGAGGTGCGGGGGGCACAGCGACATCGGGACATGGAGGCGAATTTTGTGCAGCATGGCCCCGAAATGCCATCACCATGCCCCAGCGACGACAAAAGCGGAGGAACATTCGTTTAGCGTGCCAACTTAACAGGCGTTCTCCTTTTGTTGTTTTTTTTTTTAGTCCGGGACGCATGTTATATATAATGTGTGTGCGTTGGTTGTAGCTGCTGAGGGTTTGGTTTGCTGTTGATTGAAAATATCACAGTATGCACCTATTAATTTTTTTTTTAAAAAAATCTCTGTCTTCTGTGTGCAAGGAGCTGAAGGTCAGAGGCGCGTACACACCCAGGAAAAGATGGCTTGCCCACGCGTGCAGTACCGCCGCCGCATGCACTATGCGACGCGTGGCAACCGTATGAAGCTTGTGCGTACCCCCGGCAACCGTCTCGTGATGCAGAAGCGTGCGAAGCGCTCTCAGGGCCCCCATACACCGTGGGTGCTTGGCCACAAGCGCCTCGCAGGCACGAAGGCGCTGCGCCACACGGAAGCCCGTCTTGCCTCGCGGCACCAGAAGAGCACGTCGCGCCCGTACGGCGGTGTGCTGAGTCACGAGCAGGTGCGGGACCGCATCGTGCGGGCCTTCCTCATCGAGGAGCAGCGTATTGTGAAGCGCGCGCTCAAGGCCCACGCCAAGTCGAATAAGGAGAAGAAGCGCCGCGACGCCAAGAAGAAGCGCAAGGAGGAGAAGAAGGCCGCCATCTCAAAGAAAATTGCAAAGAAGCTTGGCGTGAAGTCCACCGTTGCGAAGAAGACGGTCGCCAAAAAGAAGATCACGGCGAAGGCCCCCGTTGGCGCGACCCTCAAGAAGAAGTAGAGATGCGGTAGACTGAGTTGACGTTGCCGTCACTCGTGGGTGTCCAAATTTTGGCCCTGCTACAGCTTTATTTTCTTTTTTTTGTTTTTCATTTTTTTTTCTCTGATGAAAGAAAACCAAACACACAAAATAAAAATAAAAAACAAAAACAACCTGTTTGTCATTGTTTTTTGTTTTTTTTTGACGAACTTTTTTCCTTTCCCTCTTTGCGTGAGCTAACTCCCCACGGTTGCCTCGTTCTTTTTCTTATTTTGGCGTTTTTCACGTCTTGAAAGGGTTGCAGTCTCGACTGACAAAGATGCTTCACCATTTGCCCAGGCAAGGGAAGGTGCGTGAATGGAGTGCTGCGAGTGAGGACCGCAGCGCCTCGGAGGAGCGGGAGCACATCCTGCAGCGACTCCCTGCCTCTGTTCAGGCGATGCTGCTGCGGTCTAACCTCAAACTAACGGAGAGTGAGATGCAAAGTATTGCCTGCGCGACGGCTGATCAGCGCTGCGAGGCACTTCGCATGATCTTTGAGGGTCAATCGGCGGAGGATGCGGTTTTTTTTCTGCTGAACCTAAGCTGCCGCAACACAACATCACAGGCAACCAAGGTTGATGCGTACCCCACTGCAGGAACTGCCACAGTGGGAGTGATGGGCACCCCGCAGGCAGTGACGCCTCGTTCCAGTAGCTGCACGTTGGACGCTTCCCCCTCACCACATCCCGATCCATTCCCTCGTGAGAGGCTCTTGATGACGCAAGTGCTTTCTCCGCCTTCGTTGCGTTTTACGGCCATGAACTATTGCTACATCACTGGGGAGAAGGAATATGGTGAGTGCGCCTCTTCATCCTCGAGCGTGCCTTCACCGCACCCGCGTTCTCAGCCGGCACCTTCACAAGCACTAAGGGAAATTAGAGTAAACACTGCCGCCTTTCCAGCAGCAATTAATGCGGCGAAGGGGGTTTCAAATCCGATCCTAGTAAAAGCGAAGAAGTCCCCGAGTCCTTGCGTGGTAGCGCACCCTCAGCGAGGTTGCGAGAGAACTGCTTCGGGAGACGCTAAGGAGGCGGCAATAAAGAGCGTCAGACCGGAATTCCTACCAGTTTCCACATGTCCAACTTCAACGGCATGCTCGGCATGGAATGAACACTACCAGACATTTATTGTACATCCCAATCAATTGAAGCGACTTGAAGAATTAGAGAAGCACATAACACCCCCAAAAATTATATGTCCCCGAAATGATAGGGCTTTTCGTCGCCTGAAAACAGATGTTTGTCGGCCGTTCACACTTTCAGGCACCACCTCTGCGACGACACCGCCTTCCCCTTTATGGATATTTCATCAAAAAGGCGTTGCCGATTCCAGAGGAGGTGTTTCACCTGTTACACCACGAATACGCAATACGTACTACCCCGCAGGTAATAAAGACGCTGTCTCTTCGGCCCCATGTGTGCCGCCATTGAAGGCTCTGAAGAGCACAACAGTGAAAGAAGATGTCTTTACTCGTTTGTACACCAATACCCCTTTGCGAGGAACTTCGAGAGCGGCAGTGGCACTGGGGGGAACGTCTAAGGCGGTCGCAAATGAGAAAGCGACAACGCCGCGTAGTGCCAAAGTTAGGCGCACTTCATCTTGTTACAGTTGGCATACTTTGGCCCAGAACGGTGAGGGTGTGAATACGTGTCCGACGTGGCGGCCAACATGCCGGTCTACAACTTCTCATGCCTACTGCCATCATCTTACATTCACAGGGACGCTTTCTGCACGAAGCCACAATGGCGCCTTAACGAATGTGGTTGCACCGTGGAAAAAGCCATCTAAGATGAGTGTTGTTTCGTCCCGTGAAGGTGCTTTACAATCAATCCCGGGAAATGCCACTGCAATTAACCAACAGCCTGGCTTTGCTCAAACCTCAGCATGGAGTGACCGTCATAAATCGCGCGGTGTGTATAATTCAGGATTCACCATGCAGCTAACTCAGCAGCGTGATGTCAAATACTCTGCTTTCATCACGGCGAATAGGCTGAAACGTTCCGCAACTGCAACCACAGGGCGTTGAGTTCTCTTTTACGCACACCTGTACGTCCTTCCAGACATATTATATATAAGTATATATATAATATTAAATCATTACAAGAAAAATAAAAGGAAAAACAACACGAACCAAGTATACAAAACCTACACGTATAGCTTCATTTCTTAGACTGACGTCTGTAACACAGAGAGAAAAGACGTCTTTCCTTTTACAGGGATAACAAATGAATCCTGTTGTGGGATGCAAATTAGAGAAGCATTCAGAGAGAATGCGCTGCACAATTGTCGTATTGTACATACAACGCCCTCTGAGACTACTTGTTTTCTCCCTTGTTATATGTATTGAATCTTCACGCTTACTTTTGTTTACTACACTCCTACTGTATGGCCTAATTTCCATTGTTTTTTTTATCTTAGTGTATGCTAATGTGTGCATGCACCGTGGCTCCTCTATAGAGCTTTCTTTGGTGGTGATACTTTATTACTCGACGGTGTTTTACGTGAGCATCCTTTCTATTGTTTTTGTATTTTTTTTTCCTTTGTATGTTCTCTCCCTTTCTCTATGTTTGTGTTATGGTCTGGATGTTTTTTTGTCGGTGGTGGGGTGGGAGAACACAGGAGGAGGAAAAAGTATTTTGGATGGGCCCTTGCTCCGACGGAAGGGTGGCTGGAGGGGGAAGAAGACACTTGGAGCGAAGTGACGAAGTTAACATTCCTTGCCCAAGTGCGTTAAAAATTGGTGGATGGGGAGAGTAAACGTGTTTTCTTGACGCACGGTGAGGTCTCTGTTGTCGGATAGCACGTGCAACGACGTTGCTTCCCCTCCCCTCCCCTCCCCTCCTCTCCCCTCCCTACTCCACAGTGGCAGAGGATAGAAAGTGGTGGGTATTGGCCGTGCCTGCCATGATGCCATCCTTGCTACATGTCTTTCCCCCCATTTGGTTGCCGCTGTTGTTCTTACCGTTGCCTCTGTTTCTACCCTTCGCGTTCCTTTTATTTGTTTCTGCCCCAGAAGGGGGATAGTGTCCTGCGTTCTGCTGCCACTGACCAACATCGCCGATTCAGCACACAACGGGGGTGAAAGGCGAGACGGAGCACTCGACTTCAGAGGCCATTGACCACATACAGAGGAAAAGAAAAGGGAAAACGGTAGTGCAGGGAAGAAAGAGGAAATAAGAAAATTCACGCATACACATATACACGAGCACGTAAAAAAAAAAAAAATCAAAGAGGAAAGGTCGGAAGTTGTTCCGCCCCCCAACCAAAAAAAAAAAACAAACAACAACAACAAAACAGCCTCCAACGTGAAGACACTCATTGAGTGTGGAAACCAAAAGCAAAGAAGAAAGAGGGGGAAATAAAGGAAGAAAAGCGGTATCAAAAACGAAGGTGCAACAGCAACCAAAATAGCGCCGAATGTCGGATTGGGACAACGTTGGCTCATCTGTTATTGGTGAGGGAAACAAGAGTGGGGATGCGAAGAACGCTGTTGAGGTGGACTGGTTCTCGAACAACCATGACATTTTTAGTGGGGGCGGAGAGACTGTTCTTGTTGACCCGCGTGATGTTAAACGGGCCGAGACAGCTCCTTCTGTCCTCACAATGTACTCCGCCGATGGAACTTTGTGCGTTGGTGGAAGCCTGGAGGAGGTTGTGCCTCCTGAGGAGGAGTACCGCTACACCGAAGAGTATCACCTGCTGTATTACTCCAAGTATCCGCGCGATCCACGCATGCTTGTGCCACTTCGATCCAGCGGTGGTGTGAGGCGAGGCGGAGACTCGGGATTGCCGGGCCATCGTGGCGTCACGGGGAATCAAATTTTCTCCCAAGAAAGTGAGAATGTCACAGACAGCCATGAAACGACAACTGACAATGCCCAGGAGAAGGAAAAAAATGTCCAGGATTCTCCTGACATGGAAACGGCGTACTCAAAGAGTGTTTTAGAGTCCCTTTCAAATAATCAGCAAACACATCAACAAGAACAACAAAACCGGCAGCGGTACGAGGCGGACCCATCTTTTTCAAGCATGGAGGCAGACGAGGCACCCTCGGATGCACCCATGGATGGCAGCCTAAACATTCCAGCTACCACTAGAGGTTGTTTGCAATCCCAGATCAACAACGAGGTGACTTCAACTGGGCGTGGGCAACCACAGGCTGGTTCCACGCCACACTCTTTTGGACGGAGCAGTGCATCAGTACGTCGGGGGACTCAACATAGCCATCAAGGCTCTCAAAACGGTGGGGTAAAGAATAATGCACGTCGACAGGCAGATGGAGGTATTATTGGATCTTTTAGAGCTTCGGCGAATGAGCTTTCCTCGGTGCGAGAGTATCTTGAGGAGGTGAGCCATGAATGCTCCTACAATGCTATTCAAGGTCGTGTTGTCGCTCTAAGCAAAGACCAAGAAGGCAGTCGCTTCGTTCAGCGTCTCCTGGAGGAGGATCAGAACGTGACTAATATTTTCAAGGAGGTTTTTCCTAGTACTTGTGAGTTGATGATTCATGTATTTGGGAACTATGTGCTGCAGAAGTTGTTGGATGTGCTTCCAGCGCAGAGTGACGTGTTCAAGCAGCTTTTTGAAAAGGTGAGTGGAAGATTGAAGGAGTATTCATTTCATACGTATGGTTGCCGAGTAATACAAAGGTTTCTTGTAAAGGCATCCTCTGAAATACGGGAAAATATACTTTTTGAATTAAAGGACTGTATGGTAGAATGCGTTTTTGATCAAAATGCCAGCCATGTGGCGCAAAAGATCATAGAAGTTATGCCGGAAAAGACACAGTTTATGACTGAGGCCTTCTTGCCCAATCTGAAGGTGTTGCCTTGTCATCCGTACGGGTGCCGTGTACTGCAGTGCATTTTTGAGAAATGTTCCTCGGTTCCCGAGGTAAACATTCGTCCACTGTTCGAAGCAGTTTTGGAACATGCGCATGAGTATGTCATGGATCAGTATGGTAACTATGTCGTACAGCATGCGGTGCTTAACGCTCCGGAAGATCTCCGCAAACGTTTTGTAGAATTTCTCATTCCTCACGTGTATGCGTTGTCGTGTAGCAAGTTTGCTTCCAATGTGGCCGAGAAGACTATTGTGAAGGCAAACAAGGAGGAGTTGCAACAAATCGTTGATATCCTCACACGTCCATCAGGTGGAACTGATGATGGAAGTTGCCTTGTTCTTATGATGCAGGACCCATATGCAAATTACGTTGTACAACGCTTGCTTCAGGAGGTGACTAGGCAACAACAACAACATATTGCTGAGCAAACGAAGAGACATCTCACGAGTATCCGTCGTTCAGTCTACGGTCAACATCTTGTTCAAAAAATGGAAAACATGGGCATGTTTTCATGGATGGAGGGTGATATGTGCAACAATCCTGTGTATCATGAGCAAGCGGCTGTGGAATGTGCACCAAATCGGAAAGCTCGCGGAGCGATGGGGATTCGCAATGCCTCACGTGGTGTATCGGTGCCTCAAAGCGCCTATGTAACGTCAATGGAGCCATCCCTGGCCGCTGCCAGTTCTTATCGTCAGCCAGGGGCACCTGTTGCGGTTACCGGACGAGCTGTGCTGCCTTTGGCGCCAACGGGGTCTGGCTACAGCTACGGGTATCTCGATTTCTCGTCCGATGCCTTGCTGGCACCATCTCAGCAGTTGCAGCAAGCTCAGCACCACCTGATGTCTGTTCCTAGTGTAACGATTGGGGTCCAATCGTGTTATCCAGGCATGATGCCGCCCGCTCCACCGCCTCAGGCGGCACATTCTCAACAGTGCCAGTATCCTCCACGTCAGGTATTTGCGTTACAAGGGCAACACGGCAGCTACAATATGATGGATTCGTCATCGATGCCAGAGCATCAACATCAGATGTCTCAAACAAACCCGGTTGCCGCAACGAATCAAATTTATGCTAATTCAGGTGCTCGTGTAGGTCAACCACAAGGCGGCAAGTGGACAAACACGTACCAAACTCTTGACCCCTCTGTGCAACAGGCGATGCCGTGTGGTGTTAGTGCCCCAAATTTGTATCATGGCATGAATACGGCATCAGGATTCTGGAAGTGGGGTTGTGATCCAGTTCTTGCGTTGTCCTCATCCCTTGGACAACAGTTGCGGCTGATATAGCTTGAAATGGACAAATGGGACCGTTGACATCTCAATTCACAGGAGTTTCTCTGTGGAGTTTGGTGGCGCACTTTGATGCCCGCAGAGACACCCACCACTGGAAAAGAAGAAGATAAACAGGGGAGAAAAACTGATGTTCCGCTCGCCGAGAGAAATAAAACAACAAAAAAAAGTTTTTTTTTTTTTCTTTTTCTTATTGGATCTCACGTGCTCAGACCAAGAAAAATAATTCTTTATGTACTTGTAATCAGAGTGTCTCAGCGAATTTATCAAAATAAATTCGAAGAGCAAAACAAAGAAAAATAGACGGCGGGAAAATGCGCAATATGAATGCCTCCTTGCGCTTGTTGTCGTCCGTTGTGGGCCTTTTGCTGCAACGTGGCTTACTTGAGGAAAAAATGATCTCATGGTGTTTACGGGGACATATCAAGGGGGAACAGTTGCGTCGTCTCGACGTGTGGATGACGGTTGAGTAGCACTTCTTTTTTATTTTTCTATTAACTTTTTTTTTTTTCCTGCTTTTTGTTTTGTTTTGGAAGAATTTTTTTTTCTTTTTTTTTGGAAGATTTGGAAACAGTGTGCGATTCTCGTTGAGGCTAAGAAAGAAGGTACCGCGTCTTGTTCAACTTTCCTGCTTCTTTGCGTACAAATTGAGTTTTGTTCCCAAAGGTACTACATTGGAAGGCGGCGAAGGTGCATTTTATTATTATTATTATTATTATTATTTTCTATTGCGTGTATTTATTTTTGCTTGTTTGTTTCTGTCGTTTCACTCCTATTCATATACTACTACCCTCCACGCAGGCTAAGGTTGCGGTGGCGGAAGCGCAACTTTACTGACTGTCACTTTGCAATTTCACAATTGCCCAGCTGTTTATGTTGTATGGTTTTTGAACCAATTGTTGTATGGCTGCGTGAAGGTGTTGTATGAATCTCATCGGAGCTGGGGCATAGGGCGCAAAGAGCCAAACAGTAGTCTTCTTTCACTGTTTTTTTTTTCCGTTGTTTTTCTTCTTTGTGTGTTTCTTGTGTGGTTTGACCTTTTATCTTTCTTGCTTTCGTGTCTTTCCTGGAAACTAGAGAAAAATCCAATGATCTTTTGTGTTTGCCACCTCCGCCACCCGATTTTGTGCCTTCCCTTCCCTGCCACTTTTATGGGTTTTCCCTTGAAGTAAAAACGTACGAATAGTGGGATAAAAATGGGGTCAAAGCAGACGCGCATTTGTATTTATTTTATGTGTTGTGTTTTTTTTTGTTGTATAGGCTCTTTATTTTGTTGTTTTGTTTTGTTTCTTTTCTTTACTTATTGCAATCATATGCAAAGAGAACGATACGTATGTATGCAAGGAACATGACTGGGGGGGAGGCGCCTTTGTTCCACATTTCGTTTTGAACTGTTTTTTTTTCTTTTCTCTCTTCCTTGGCATCCGTCAATCTATATCTCTCTCTACCGATGTCCGTATCTATGTGTTTACTGACGCGCCGATGCATCTATCTATGTCTGCTCACACTTTTTTTTGTTTTTGTTTTTGTTTGCTTTTTTAGCTTGAATTTGTCTTTTACCATCGTGAGTGCTTGTTCTCACGTAAATACATGCATTTACGTATTGAGTACCTTGTTTTTGTGTTTTTCCGTTGAATTCTCGTTTGTTTCGTGCATCACACTTCCAAGCAGCAACTTAGTTACAAGTGGGGAAGACGGAATAACTATAGTAACACTAATATTAATAACGATGATACTTTTTCCAACTTTCATCATCATCGAGAATGGAAAAGGGAAAGGAGTGGGGCGTGGTGGGGTGGGAATAGGTGAAAATTGTATTAGTTCAAAAGGACTGAAGTCCTGTGAAAAAAATGATAAGAAGAAAAGGCCAGTCAGTATTCATCTAGCTATTTACTACAAGACCTTGTGTGGGGAGGGGAACGTGCAAGAGGGAATCATGTATTTTGTCTTTTTTTTTTTGTTTTTGTTTTTCTTCATCTCTAGCTATTTTCTTTTTGTTCTCTCCTCCCCCCACTCCCCACTCCCCACTCCGCCTACTCTGACATTACGTGAACAATGCATTATTTTAATCTGTGCACGTGTGTAGTTTGAAAACTTCAAATATAAATGCAAATGCATGTATACATAAATATACACATTTATGTAGTTATGAACATATTTGTTTGTTCCTCTGTGTGTGAGTCTACTGACAAATTCCTGTGGAAGAGTGGTGGTACCAAGAAAATGTAAGGAAACAAATAGAGAGAGGAAATACTTTTTTGTATTCATGTATCCTCACATATGTGAGAAAAGAAATTAGTCAAAACAGCAAGTGACAGATCTAATATTTAAACCTTTTGGAAATGAATCGAGGCAACGAAGCTTACATGCTGTGCGTGTTTACTTATTTGTTTATATATATATATATATATATATATATACCTTACTTTTTGCTTTTTTTTTGCATGTGCGTGCGTCTGTTTCCTGCTTTAAATCCATGTGTGTGTGTGTGTTTTTATTTTGCAACGCATGAAAGTAGATATATTTGTGTTTAACATTTTCTTTTTAGGGGTTTTCCTGCGCCCCAGACCTGCGTGAAGCTAACATCATAACGAGCATGTCAGAAGCAGCAACGACAAAGGCCGCCTCTCTCTCCCCGGTTTTTTTTTTGTATGAATGTTTACGGGTGTGGGGGATAACAAGGGAAAATCAAGAAGATGCCTACGCATCCACAGTCAGGCACGTATATTCATGTTTTTTTTTGCTTATATGTGTTTGCGTCTGTTGCCGATATACACATGTTGTTTGAGGCGAATCGTGGAAAAGTGATGGAAATGTGACTTTTTTTTTGTTTTATTGAAGACGTTGTTTTTTTTTTTTTTTCTAGATGTGTGCTTGTTGGCCACGCGGCGCACTTTATCATGCAAGCAGAATAACGCTTGTCCTCGCACACGCGTCTTCTTCTAATAGCCACATGCACACTCGTTGGGTCTTTCTTTTCGCATGCGCCTTTGTTTGCTTGCATCGACACGCTGGATGCCTGCACAACAAATGGAGGGCGTGATGAGAAATGTGAGTCACGTGACTTACATTTGTAGAGAGAGCGAAGGATGTACTAATGTATATCACCAGATGCAAAAGTTGGTGTAAAGAGGGAAGCAAAAAAAAAAACAGGCACACAAAGAAACAACCACTGCCGTGTCACTTTACGATTTATTCTTGAGCGGGAAGGAGAGGTTCAGGCAGAGAGTTTGCGGTGGTGAAGCTGCGATACATTAATGCCTCGGGGGAAAAGGGAGGGCCCCACACATTCCTTATGATACAGAGCTTCTTTGCCGTCGCCGAAACCTTGTGAACACGTGGAGATAGAGAGAGAGAGAGGGTTAACATGGTGATGAAGTGTGGGTAAGAGAATGCGCCGTGAGGCAGGTGAGGGGGTGGTGTGCCGAAAACAATGCTAACGGGTGCAGATCAGCCATTGGCGGCGGGAGTGGTTTATGTATTTCTGTCCCAAGCAGCGAAGCAGAAGCAACTGGGTGGAGGGAATATGTTCAGGTGGTGTACTATTTGTATGCCGTTTTCCTCCCTCGACTACGTCTTTTTATTGTTGGTATGTGTTTTTTTTTTGTAGTCTTTTGTTTTGGTCTTTGACTTCATCTTATTTATTTATTGTTGTTTATTACGTCAAAAGCACTAAGTGCTGTTTTTTCCCCGCCTGGATTGAAGTTGTTACGTCCCCTTTCTTTCTATGCGCATGCGCGTGTGTGGTAATTTTTTTGTTTGTTTTCCTTTTTGTCCTGGTTTTTGGCTTTCAATACATTTTTGAGAGCAATATTGAGAGATATTTGTGGATGATTCAGTTGCATGCACCCCTCCCCCCCCCTTCCCCCCCGTCTTTGTCGTCGCGTGCTTGCGTGTGTCTTAGCTTGAAAATACCCATAAAAGGGGAAAAGGAATAACAATAATAACGAAAATAATAGCACTAACACATATACCACCGACAGCGTTGCTTCTCAAGGGGGGCCAAACTGTGTGTGAGTGTGTGTTAGTGTCTGAGGGTGAGAGAGTGAGTGACTGTGCTGTGCTGGTTATTATTTTTTTAATTTTTATTTTTTGCTCCTCCTCTCTCTTCGCGCCTGTGAGGTTGTACGCACCTATCACGTGTGGCGCCCACGGCTGCTGCAACGCTAACAACAACAAAAAACAACAACATCAACAACTAGTTGATAAAAAGATAAATAGACAAATCTATTCAAAAGGAAAAAGAGGACTGAATAAAAAAAGCGTGGGCTGTGAAAGGACGGAAATACCAAAAGAAAGAAAAAGAGGTGGCCCATTAGGAGGGAAATGACTGGGGATCTTGAAAAGTCGAGGCGTCTCTACCAAACGCTGTTGCTTCCAGATTTTAGCAGCGTTGAGGAGGTGCGACAGGCCTACAAGTCGTTAGCTCTCAAGTACCACCCGGATAAAAATCTTGCTGACCCGTCAGCGGCGGAGAAATTTCGTGATGTTCGCGTGGCATACGAGATACTCTCAAACGTAGAGCGCAAGCAAAAATATGACTGCACCCTTCGTATGTATCAGCCACTGGGCGCCAATTCCTTTACCCCAGGAATACGCACGCCACGGGCTGGATGCCCCGCCGATGCTGGGTACAACCCTTACATGCCGACTGGGAACACAACGAGTAGCATCTACGAGGAGCTGAATTCGTACGCTGCACGAAGAGCGGGAAAGCAACAACGACGGTCCTTCTCCGCTGCCTCCTCGCCGGAGGACCGGGCTTCGCAGTATACAAAGGAGCAACAAGAGTTTTTTAAAAAACGGGAAAAGGAGCATAGGGCGAAGCTTCAAAAACGTCTAGCGCAAGAGCGAAAAGAACAGATTGCACGAGATTTAGAGGCTTTGCGTCGGGAACAAGAAAGACGTGAAGAAACCCAACAACGCTCACGACAGCTTCGGCCAGGGAATGAGGCTCGTCGAGCATGCGCATCTGTCGGATCTCGACGTGCCTCTCCTTTTCCCCGTGTTCCCATGGAAAACCTGTCGCATGTGGGGACAAGCAAGGAGCTTCCCAAGGTTTTTTCTGCACGTGTTCCTCATTCACCTGGAGGCTTCTCGGACATGGCGCGCCCTCTCCAGTCGCCGCGGCCCCCACGTCCGTTGTTTGACGCAGAGGCAGATAGAGCGGAGCGTGTGCGTCGTGAGAAGGAGCGACAAGCCGAGGTGCGGCGGGCAGAGCAGGAAAAATATATGGATCGATTGATTAGACAACGTATGCGGGAAACACGTATGAAGGAGCGAGAGTTGGAGGAGGCGGAACGGCGAGAACGAGAAAATAAACAGCAGGTGCTAATGCTAGATGAAAAAAGTGTACGAGAGCAAGTTATTGAGGCGCAGGAGCAAATAGAACGCCGAAGACTATGGCGGCAATACAAATTGCAAGTACGATGGCATGTATTACAGCTACGTCTTCGTCAGATTTCAGGAAAAGAGACAATTGGTAGAATATTGATCCAGTCTTGGGAAGAGGAACAATTTGAGTTGTTATGTTTACAAAGGAAGGAATCTTGGGGGCGTACGGGGTGTCAAATGGATGAGGATTTGGCATGGAACGATTTTCTATTATATCATGTGAGAATACAAGAGGTAATATTTGCACAGAAACAATGTAAATTAATATCTGCACAGTCCATGGAATTTGAGGCAGTTTGTTCCGCAGAGGCCGTGGCATTTGCGATTCTTGAGGTCCAGCGACAGGAAAGTGTGAGTCGACTCCAGTTAATGAAGGATTCGCTTGAATGTTATCTTGAGTGTTATAGAACCCGTCACGAATTTTCGGAGCAGGAATTGATGAGAAACGCGTTGATTGATGAGCGAGGCATTGTCATCAAGGAGGAGGCGTTGGACCGTGCGTTTTTGTTTACTGCTATGCAGGAGTGGAGGGGTCGTTGCGCCTTGGAAGAAGAAGAAGAAGATGCGATTCTGGAGATTATACAACAACGTGCATCGGAGCGACAAGGGCAACATCTCAGGGAAGTGGAGCAGGCGCGACTGTTGGAGCGGCAGTCACAAGTGACTACTATTGCAGCTTTACAGGCTGAAGTACGGCGTTTGCGGCAAGATATGTATTTCACCTCGGCGGTTCCGCCGAGTAGAGAAGAAGAGAGCTTTGCTTTGAGTTTGCCGCACAATTCTGAGTTGTTGAGGGATGCTACCATGGATACGCCACCAAAAAGCATTGAATATTTTCCGTGGTGGTTTGTACGACAAAAAGATCACCACGGACAACAGTGATAATCACCACTGTGTGGCCGTGGTGTTAATGGTAATGGTTTAAAAACCAACAGCGGTAATGGTGTACTTTCTGGGGAGGGCTTCTCTGCATTAGTCTTCATGCGTTGACATGGCCCTGCGCAGGACGCCTTCTCCGCAACACCGTCTTGAAAGGGCAGCCGCTGCAAAAGAGAGGCCGGATAGTGGGTGTCCGACAAATCGTGCCACTAGTAGTCCACACCATAGCCAATTTCACGCCATTACACTCTCTCATCGTGTAAGTTCAATAGCTTTGCGTAAACCATAATATGTGCTCCTTCCCACGTCGTACCTCCACTGCATAATATATTGAAACATGTAAAGCAGGCGGGTGTTAAGGCAAGCGTTGAGGGCATCACTCTTTTCCATGCAGATTATTATTATTATTATTTGGTGTTTTGTTTTTGGCGCCATACTTTCAGATCTCATAACACCTTTGAACACGGCCACGCGCGCACCCACAGAGCAACGAAGCATGAAAAGGAAATGCCGAAAAACGGTGCGTGTGCGCCCCCAAGTTTGTTTTTAGCTTGTTTGTGGTCATTGTTGTTTTCTTACTCTTCTTCTCATCTACGAATTCCGTCGCCTACTTTGTTTCCTATTTTTTTTTGATTTTTTTCTTTGTTACGCTCTAGACGGGAAAAGAGAGAACCCGATTGTAGATGGCTTCTGTATATTTAGTCTCTTTTTTTTCATTTTTGATTTTTTCCCTTCCACCTTTTTTTTTTTTTTGTTGTTGGTATCCCCGCTGAATGACGCGGAGAGGCTTCTTGCGACGTTTCTCCTTATCAATGAACTCGCTCTTTCTTTTTATTTCGTTCTTGTTGTACGGCGCTTTGGTGCCTTACTGGCCTTTCATATCTCTGCTACTTGGGTGTTCGTCGGCTTCTCTTTTTTATTTGTAGTCGAATGTCCCATCTTGCGATGTTTTTTGCTATTCTGCTTCGTCGTTGTTGTGCTTTCTCGGTGCCACGTTCTTGAATTGGGCTTTGTGTGCCGTGCACTGGGGACGGCGTGGGGCGTGTCTGTGTGGCGAGATTGAAGCGGTTATTGTCAATGTGTGCGCCGTGTGACGGTAAAGGGAGCACAAGCAGTGAGACAATAGTAACTCGCGTGCTTGAGTTACAGTGATGGGCTTGTAGTAAGAATATGTCTGTATTGAGGCTTTTGTACAGGGAATACTTCTGAGCTCGCTTTTTTTTTCCCCCTTGTGTGTTTCCGATATTCTAAATGTTTTGTGAAGTGAAAACCGATAGTTTTTGTATCGCATACACACACGCACGCGTTTCGCCCCCACTTGGGATTATAGGCTATACAGTAATTGCAGGGGGGAAAAGCCTAAAATAAAAGACGTAGAAACGATGGGGTACAGTTTTTCGCGTGCTCAAATGGAGGACTACAAGGAACTTGTCAAGGATCGCTTCTCTGAGGAGGCCATTGAGTTTCTGTACGCCAAATTCCACAAGGCGGCGCCTGAGGGTGCCATGACGCCCGTAGAATTCAAAAGATATATAGACAGTACTGATGTGTACAAAAACTACAGGCAAACCCACCTGACAGCACCATTGCTAGGTGGCATTAAGAGTGCTAGTGGTATTGGTGGTGGAAATGCAGCAGTGAAGAAAACCTCAAGAAATGTAGTGGACAGAGAGATGTACTTGCACCTTTTTCGTGCATACGATCGAGACTGTGATGGTGTGATTTCCTTCAGGGAATTTCTGCTGTATCACTTGGCGGTGATGTACTCCACCGAAGAGCTTTTTGTTGTCGTATTCAACGCGTATGACGATGACCAGGATGGCTACCTCTCTCTTGCGGACATAATTAGCACTATCACAGCGGCAACGCGCTACGTGGGGGACTGCGATGTTGAAGACCAGGAGGTGCAACGTGTGATTGAGGAGGAGGCGCAGCGTCTCATGTTTTTCTTGGATGTCCGCAAAGATGGACGTATCCGGCGCGATGATATGCGACTGATCACACAGAAGCACCCCGAGGTACTGGAGAAGATGAAGAATTTGATGTAAACCGCTTTCTCAATGTATGTATGTATCTCTGCCTGTCTGTGCGTGGATGCCTGTGAGAAGGAGAGCGAGAAAGCTAAGGAAATGGCTCGAGGAAGTGTTTCAAATATGGGTGCTCTCTCGACGAAGGGGTTTACTGAAGGGAAAATGGTTTCATTCACAGTTTGAGTGGAATCGAAGTGTTTATTTTTGTATCATTGTTTTTTTTTTTTTGCTGCATTGAAGCTGACGTACTTTCCCCTACACAAACACAAAAGAGAAAATAAGAATGACAAAAATTGGCATCATCCGCGGCATTTTGAACCTTTTCTTTTTGTTGTTGTTTTTGTTTTCAGTTTGATGCGGCATGCCGGTGGGGAATGAGGTGGGACTTGTTTTTGGTGTTGTCAATGCTTCCAGCAGTGTGGTCCGTCCTAACAATCACCTGCAAGGACGCTATTCTGTACTTTCTGCGTTCCCCCCCCTTGGTTTCCATGGCTTCTCTCTGGCTGCCTGGTTGTGGCGTCTTTGGCTGAACACAGGATAAACGGAAGCAATCACATTGGCTTAGCTCGCTGAAGAGCCCTCTGGGGACATATATTTGCCGTGCCACTGCGACTGTGCCGAAATACTTCTCCGTTAGGATACACGTGCCGCCGAGGAGACACAAATGGGCAAACGACACTTAGCATCGGGGATTAAAAACCACGGAGAGGGCGGAACAGAAACGCGTGGTGGACCCCTTCTTGGGCGGGGCGGAGCATCTTCAACGGACCTCACTTCAGACCTCCTGAGGAAGGACTGCGCTGATATTACAAATGCCAAGGACGATCTTCGGCAACCGCATCCTCGCCAGCGCCAACAACTGCGGCGACACAATTCTGTCGTGAAAGACAAGAATGATATAAATAGTTCTTCCCTCAATAATCTTTTGCCTGACGGAAAAAAACATGTGGTAAGTTTAACCGCCTCGCAGTTGCTCGAAAAAGGTGGAGTTTCAGGGGAAGGAACTCATGTACTGAGCCTTGGCAGTTTCGGCAGCAAGACAAGTGCTGGGATTTTAAACAACGGCAGTTGTCATGTGGTTCCTCCACATGTGTTGCTGCCACAGGAACACACGGCGTTACTTGCCGAAGAGGGCAACTGCGACGAAGCGACATCCTGTTTAACCGCGAAATGTTCCTCTGAAGGCCGCGCACGTTGGCTAACTGGCCACGGGCCTAGTGGTGCGAAAGGCGCCCCCTCGGAAGACTGTGTCCCCAGAACTACCATGAGTAAAAAGGAACGAGAAAGGTTACAGGTGTCCTCTACCACGAGGAATAAAAAGCGTGGTGATGCGAATGAATTAGTTGACACCACCGTGGAAAATCTCACCGATAGGCATTCTGGGACCGAGGCGTTGTCAACATCGCCACATGAAAAGGAGCAGCAGCTGAATGAAAAAGAAGACGAAAAAAATCATGAAGTTAAACACATCCAGAGGAAAGCAACGAATTATTTTGTTAGTTTACCGGAGTCGTCTATGAAAATAATGCAAGCTTCAACAAGCCCCCCGTTTTCTGGCGGTGTGTTTGTTGAGTCACAGTCGAGTTCATTACGAAGGAGTGTACCTACAAGTATGGAAAGAGAGGAAAGATGCGTATTCCCTTTATGGAGTGCCGAACATCAGAACCCCAACACTCAAACCGAGAATAATAGGTATGGATGCAATAGTAGCTCCGTGTCCTCGCATCCTGAGTCCTCTACGGATCAGCATCATCGCAGTTACAGCTTCACACCAGAGGTGAGTCTTTCACTTTGTCGACTTGTGGATGAGAATGTCGTAGCATGTCTTTCCCAAACGGCGGAAAGGATGATGCTGCAGCGGCAGAAGCAATTAGGCTGCGTCGCTGAATATCTTACGGAGGCTATTGCGCACGAGGCGTGGAGTAAAGGCGTGCACTATGGTAGTTTGCGTTACTATGTGTTTGGAAGTGTTGCGATGTGTACTGTGTTGCCAGATGGCGATAATGATATGACGATTGATATTGAGGGGCTTTTAAATCCTACCAAAAATCTTGAGCAAGGAAAGGCCTTTGTGGATCCTCATGCTCGTGTACTGACAAGCGGAAGGAGCAGCAGCAACAACAATAATAATAATAATAATAGTATGTCATCATCTCAGGCAGCTGTCATTGCAGGTGGGGAACTTCTCTCAGGCGTGGCAGAATACTTGCAGCAACGCAACACTCCACTTTACGTTGACGCCCTGGTACTTGCTGAGGTCCGTGTTCTGAAGCTCGTGATGGAAGGCAGTTGCTTTGACATCACCGTGGGTCAGCTGGGTGGTGTAGACTGTGTTCGTTTTTTGCATGAGATGGATATGATAATTGGCTGTCAGCACCTCTTACAGCGAACTCTACTTTTGTTGAAGGCGTGGTGTTGCTACGAAGCACACATCCTCACTGGACAGGGTGGGTACCTTTCTTCCTACGCGGCCACCATCATGCTGATTGCCATGATGAATACAGTGGAGTTTCTTGAGGACGTGGATGCGGTAGCAGAAAAGGAAAGGAAAGAAGAAGAAGAAGGGCATTCGAGAAGTGGTCAACAAGAGCTCTTCAAAAACATTTCACCACTCCAACTTTTTGCGCGTTTTCTTAAATTTTTTAGCTTTTTCGATTTTGGGCGTTACTGTGTCACAATATTTGGTCCACTTCCACATGCTTGCCTGAACGGTAAATCATTTGACTTCACTCAGCTAGAGGCTTCAGATGGAAGAGGCGACAGTCGTGGGGAGCGGCTCAGGTCATCGAAGTCTGAGGCAAAGGACAATGCTTTTGAGGAGCTTATTGATGTGAATGGCTTGGGTCTTACTGCCGAGGGAGTGAGGGCGTTTGGACATTGCCTTCGTCGTCGCGCTAAGCCACTCATAACTGTCAATGGAGTGAGACATATTTTATATGATGAGCACATGCGACGTCTGCATGATAAAACGACGTCATTTGAGCTTCAACAGGAAATGGGAGGGATGGAGACAGCTTCCGGTACTTTTGAGAATAGTGTTGGAGACGCGGAGCAGCCACGTCTTAATAATACCTGTGATGACGTACTTGATTACGATAATTTCTTCTGCTCCACCTTGGATACTAGTCACTTTCCACTCCGTACGATGAATGTGATGGATCCGCTGCGATGGAGTGCCAGCCTTTGCCGTGGAGTGAGCCGTAATCACTTGCAACGTATCCGCCGCGCCTTTCGGGAAGGCCTTGCTCTGTTTGAAAGGGGGTCCTCTATAATTGGTAACGTATCTTCTTATTCCTTTGCTGAGCATGGCGAATACAGTGATGCTAGCTGGGAGAGATCCTCTAGAACAGGCGAATACTCGGGAGTTCTCTCGGACCCTGTGAAACTGGTGGCGGAGCAAAGGATTTTTTTGGAATCCATCAATAGTGTTTTAAAGGATCTGTTTGGGCATACTCTAGCAATACTGCGGAAACGCACTCCAGACCCCTTGTCGTCAATGCACCCACGACAGGTGCAATGCAGACGATGTCCATATCCATCATTTTTTTGTGCTTCATATTCAAAACGGATGTGTGAGGCACAATTTATCTTTGATCTTCAAGACGCCATACAGAAATGCAGAGATGGGCATGATGCAGCTGGCTCAAAAGCACAGGGAACAATATACGATGCAAAAGCTTCCCCGTTTATTCCAGCCCTTTTGAACCAACGAAGCAACAGCAACAAACACCCCTATCAGCAGAAGCAGCAGCAACAGCAGCAGCAACAGCAGCAACAGCAGCAGCAGCAACAACAGCAGCAGCAACAACAACAGCAACAACAACTGCATATGGTACCGAGTCCTGGAACTATGCGATTAGGAACGGGACCAATGTTGTCCACTGTTCCCTCTACTACAAATGTACCGTTGCCGTTTGCACATTCCATGTGCGGTGTAGGTTGGCAGGGCGCCGACAAGCTGCCCAATAGGGATTCCTGTATGAACCTGATTACGATGGCCCAGTACCTTGCACGCGGGGCACCACTGCTTCGAGCTCGTACCAAAAACAATTCTGTACTTGGGTGCCAACGTGTATCCCCAGTAGGTACTGTGCCGAGTGGCAATTTATACCCCGCTGATTTTGCTGCTTTTCAGTGTTACCCAGCGTTTTCACCAGCAGGATCTTTGGGAACAAACTGTAGAACATCTATCGAACAAAACATGTTGGATGGAGCTCCAACTAATTTTGTACCATCACTCCCACCACCACCGCTACTACCACCACCGCCACCACCGCCACCTCCACCGGGTTTAGTTTCGTCATCGTCTTTAATTGATGCTCGTTTTCAGACGACAACGTCTTGTCAGAAACCCCAAAGTGCTTCCAGGCGATGTGTGACGTCGAATTCGTACTTGGACGTTTTCAACGCTGGAGTTTACCCTTTTCACCCGACACCTATAGGCGCCCCAAATTTGGTTGACACAAAAACAAACAATGTTCGCCTTTATTGATTTTTGCCCTATTGTTTTCTCGTTTTTTTTTTTTTTCGATTGGGGCTTAA